AAGCCACGCAACCAGCACCGGGGAATCATTTAGAGGGATTTATGACATGTCCCTCTATCAGGTTTGCGTAGCTTTGTGCAAAAAGGATCAACGAAGCACTACGTGGGTATGGGTCAAAATTAAACCGCCAGGGGACCGCAGGCTTTTGTCCTTGTTTCCTTTTACCCGGGTTCCAGTTGGGGTGCCTATTTTTGTCCCACAGCCGCGTGTTCCAGACACTTCTCTCATTTTGGGCTTCAGACATGCGGTAGACACGAGGTCTCTGGCTGGAAGTCACTAGACTCAGCTTCAGGCTGCCGGGCACGGGAGAAGCTCCCGAATCGCCTGAAGCCCAGCAGCTTCTCGCTGTGTGGCGCGTTTGTTATGGGTCTGTGCAGTTTGCCAAAAGAAAGATTGCAGGATGACAGAAAGATCCGGAAAGCATGTTCGAGCGAGAGAGACAGAGAGAGAGAGAGAGAGAGAGAGAGAGGGAGAGAGAGAGAGAGAGAGGCAGAGCGAGGCGCGGGGGGAAGGGGGGGAGGTCCGAAACTGGATTAAATTATGGGGCCGGGTTGGGGCCTCCCCCAACCCCCCAAAGACTCCCAGAACTCATCTAAGAACCTTTTTGTTTTAGCGAAGGTGCTTAGAACCTTTCCAGGAGGGTGGTGGGGTGGGCCTTTGGTTTCTTATCATACTAGCGCATATAAGTTCTAGTATTCTGTTATGTTGTTCCAGACTCCCGATTTGGCATCCACAAATTTGGAGGTCCACTTGTGGATCTTAGGGAACCCATATACCCAGCAACAACTGGCCTGGCACAAAGGGATGCTTCTAGCACAGGAGTTGTTTTTGTTGTTTCCAGGGGAAGCTGCTCGTTTGAGGCGTCCCGTTTTTGGATGGTTTAGAACATAAACTCATCGCGCCAGGTGTCCTTTTGTTCACACTCTTGGGTAGTGATCCTGTGAACGTGCGCCCTTTTCCCGGCGCATGGGAGGCTGGGGCTGGGAAGGTGAGGGCTGTTACCTACGAAGGCTTGAGGTGCGAGCCACCCCCGTTATCTGCTTGAAAAGGGCGCAGGCGTGGCGCTCGATTCACTTGAGTGCAGTGAGCTCAGACATCCTCGTCCAGGCAGACAATGCTTCGGCATGTTGCTTCATGTGCCGATGGCTCGTGTCTGATTTTACTTGCTGCACGTGACCTGGTTTCACATAGTAACGCATAAGGCACCAGAACCCGGAAATCGATTTATCATATGTTTGTTTTGGTTTCAGAACAAGTCACTCGCTGATCCAAGGTCGCAAGTTCTAGATCCGGAGCTTTTCATGTAAGTTGAGTTGTATATCCCATTTCGGAGAATACACTGCCTGAAACCTAGAGATTTTCTGAGCTCATTTTGCTGACACTTGGATGACTTTGTGAAGCTGAACCGTTTGCTTGATTTTGTCTAGGGCTGGGGATGACTTTGCGGAACTGAACTGGCTGGCCTAATCGGCGCTGCAGATCACCTAGTTTCCGCCGCTTAGGTAGAACGAATGCGGGTCTCACTGAGTGCACGACCTTTAGGGAGTTTAGGTTTTGGCCAAAAAGCAAAAGGTCCTAGAACCAAGCAACAACTTGTGTGTCGGCCAACTAATGGGTTTTCCACTAAACCACTAAAAAAATAAACTTTTTGGTTTTTGAGGGTTCCCCTGCTAAAATAGACTGCAGAAAAAGCTGGTACCAACTTGTTCTAAGCTCTCTACTGGGACCTAGGTTTAGGAGCCCGTCCACTTGCGCTCCGTGTGTGCTCAGGTCCTTTGATCAGGAGTTTCAGGCGCCGGACCCCCACTTCATCGAGGATGCCAAGCACCAGATGGCTCCGGGTGGCCCACCTGCGCCTGCCCCGCCCGGGCGCCCAGGCGATCGAAGCTTAGGAGAAAAGCGTCCGCGGTTCCGGGTGACCAGCTTGGGCCCTTCGGGGGTCTCCCATGTTGAGACCCAAATGAAGCCTAGCCCACTTCAAAGGGTCGTTTAGAGGTGATCGGAGTTGTGTTACCGTTTTTTCAGTTGTTCAGTGGCACCAAGATTGTTTCAAATGGTCAAAGGCAGTTGGCCCAACCTGCGGGCCCAGATTTCGTGGTCCTGCCAATGGGCATCTGTTTGCAGGGAGCAATGCCTTTTCTAAACCCCCAAAAAGTTAAACTTTTTGCAGGGGGGTCAACAGCAACCAAGCTTCTTGGAAATAGTTTCCCGTCGGCCTGAAGAAGGCAGCAGAGTGTAGCCCTGGTATCTCCGCCTCCGGTTCATGTCGCGCCCTGACTTATCAATCGGCACCTGGTTGCTGTTGGGACTAAGGGTTTTTGTATTACGCCCTGGAAAACACCCACTGGGTATTGACCCCATTTAGGCACATGTCCGGATAAAACCGTGTTATTTTGAGCCATTCTGGGTTATTTCCCAAGGGTGTAATCCCAGGGTGTAGTACAAGAACCCTCACGAGTTTCCTTTAGGGTGCACTTGGTTGCTGTGCTGTTGCTGTGCTGTTTTCCTTTCTTGTTGCTGTGCTGGACTCCTGCGGGAATTTGGACAACCGCAAGACTGCCTCAAGGCAGAGTTCTGAGGATGAGGCGTGTGGGGTTGTCTATCTATCTATCCATCTAACTAGCTAACTCATCTAATCAATGAGCACTTTGCGTGTTCATGCCAACAGCAACCGCTCGGCCCTCCCACCCCTGCGATGATTCCTTGGTGGCAGACCCAGCCAGGCAGCTTGTTGCCTGTGCTGGGCCTGTGTGAGCTCTGCGCATTCGTGAAAAGCAAGACTTGGTTAACAAGTCTTCTACAAATCTACCTACCTACCTATCTACCAATCTATCAATCTATCTATCTAATCTAATCTGAATCTAAATCTAATCTTTAATCTAATCTAATGTAATCTATCTATATATCTATGTCTGAATATGAATTTATGTATTTTTCCTATTCTAATGCAAACTAATCTGGTCTAATCCAATATACTCTATCTATCTATCCATCCATCTCCATCTAGCTGTGTATTTGTGCATCATATCTATGTGGTCTGTTTGTCTGCCTATCTGTCTGTTTTCTATCAACGCTTCTGCGAGTCGTGCTCCAAAGTGCTGCGCCTGCCACGAACTCCGATTTTAGAAACTAGCACGGGACAGCGGCGACAGAATGATTTTGACCGATTTTGACAAGCTTTCAGCTTGCCCAAAACGAGCTGATTGTGCAACAGGGGGAACGAAAATGACACTCGCGCAAACGCTTGCACGTGCCTGCCACGCAAGACAGCTCAAAACGACCACCCTGAGACGCAAATGGCCATGGCACGGCGAAACCAACGCACAACCTTTCAAAACACTGTGTTTTCGCGCAACGTCGCAACTTGGTGGCGCCCAGCCATCCCCTTAGCCTATCAGCTTTTTAGGGATGTCCATTTAACCCACTAAAAGTGAAACTTTTAGCGGGGGATCTGAGGACAGCCCAGGCAGTAGCTACGATTCGCGGCACGGGCTCAACGAAAACAACGTGTTGCAAGTCCTACGAATCGCAGATTCCGAGCCTTGCACAGCGAGCGCAGCGAGGCGAAGACATGCTGACCCCAGGCCCCGTTCTCTATAATGGGAACTTTTTTGCTAGGTATTTGGGAAATTGATCCGGTGATTCTTTTTCTTAGGGCTGGTTTTTCTCCTAGGGCTGGTCCCCTGGTTGGTTGGTTGGTTGGTTGGTTGGTTGGTTGGTTGGTTGGTTGGTTGGTTGGTTGGTTGGTTGGTTGGTTGGTTGGTTGGTTGGTTGGTTGGTTGGTTGGTTGGTTGGTCAACTTGGGATGCTGAAGCTGCTGAAAGCCACAAGCGGAGACTAGTCGTCATCGTTTGCATGGCCACTGAGACAAAGACACGGCAGATTGCTCTTCTGAGCTCAGAAGTCAAATGTTGTTGTTGTCAACACACACTGACATTGATGTTGAAGACACTGATTGAAGACACATCAAAGACAACGTCAACACTGTCAGCCCATCGATCGTCCCCACACAACATCAATGTTTGCTAGTTGGTGAGGGGATGTTGAAGTTGGACTGTGGCTTGACGTGTTCACGCTGAATTTTCCAAATGTTGCCTTCATTTCGCCATGGGCTTGCGGGATTCGGGGAATCAAGCCGACGTCTCACATCGTTGGACTGGTGGGACCTGGGCTGTCAAACTATGTCCTACATGATCTGGTGTGCTTGTTATGATTTGTCTCGCAGTGTTGGCACATGATACTTCTGGAGAAATCACACTTCTGCTCACCAGAGATAAGAGAGTCGTCACTTCTGATCCCTCACCAGGGGATTCGAAACCCATCTTTCCGGAGTATGTTTACTCGCCTCCCACTCCTTCCCAAGTCTTTTTTTTGGTGGAAAGTTGGCAGAAGGTGCACAAAGGTGACACACCCGCCATATTCTTTTGAGAATGTTTGGGGGTGGAAATTGGTTGCAGGTGTCCCTACCCTCTAACCACCACCCTCACCAAAAAAATATACAGACATATTTCATATACACTCTGGTGGTAAAGCAAGGTTGTATACCCGCCTATGTTCCCTTGCTAGTCCTCGGTTTGGCGGCCAGAGCGGAACTCCAGTGCCTGAGGCCGGAGCTGCCAGGCATGGGGCGCAGCCGCGGGCCCGACGCCCAAGGGGCCAACGGAAGTGCATCGATGCATCCCAAAGTCTCAGGGAATCTTTGGGTGGGCTCGTAGCCCTTGTTCATACCCACTTTATAAGGGCTATGTAGGTATGTACCCCGTTTGGGGATAGGGGTAAGAACATCAGCAGGCCTTTTGGGTTCGTTTGTCCAAGGGGTATGTAGCAGGGGTACCCTGGAAGGGATCGTTTTTTCTCCCGGAATCCGCCAAAACCCTGCAAAAAACCAGGTGGTTTGCAAAGCCAACGATGGGGAAGCCCCCCAAGTCTCAGGGATCCTTTTGTTTTTGATCCTGGGAGAATGGGTGGTTTCTAAAGCCAAGGATTGGCGAAGACCATGGAGAAGCGACGTTTAGAAGTCAGTTTCTTGCCTCTTGAGTGAAGAGGCCACGGTTGAGAACATCTCACACGTTTGCCCTTGATTAAAACTATGAACGCGCGAGAGCTGATTCTCGTCCTAGGTTAGCGTCGAGCATTGAACAAGCGGAATTTGCAAACTTAAAATTCGTCGTTGCCTGATGTATTATTTTTGTTTGAACAAATGTTGTTTACTCAACGGGTGCATGGGGGCTTTCAATTGGAATTCAAAGGGTAAGCCGCCCCGTGTCGAGGGTCCTTGTTTTCAGTTGTTCATTGGAATCGGACGCTTTTGTGGATATTACATGGTTGCAACCCCACACGTTAAAGAGGCATCGGCCGAATCGTGAGCTGAGATCTCACAAAGGTAGGCATCAAGTTCCCTGCGTGGCCTCCACTGGTATGGCCTTCTGCTTTTGCAATGCTGGGTGAAGTTCCAACTACCCGTTTGCCGTTTTCCGGGGCCCCTTGGGCACCGTTGAAAGGCATGGATGCGCATGTCAAATAGGCCTTTTGTCGATGGAGCTCAATTCTCATCCGAAAGGTGGTTCTCAGCTGGGAGTTCACTGGGTGGAAGTTTTGCGGGGAACTGGGGCCCGTTATTTATTTTTTAATTAGGAACCACCGTTATGACATAAATCCCCGAAATGATGTCCGAAGGGTCCCCAATTCAAATTCACCATCTGACCAAAGGTGAGTCCCCTTACGCCCCACCCTCCCCTTAATCCCCCCCCCCCCTTCAGCCCTTCCTTAAGGCCCCCCCCTTAAGCCTCCCCCCTTAAGCCTCCCCCCTTAAGCCCCCCCACTTAAGCCCCCGCCTTAAGCCCCCCCCCTTGAGCCCTCCCCTCAAGCCCCCCTTAAGCTCCCCAATTCGCTTTTCATCACCTGGAAGCGAGGGCAAAACCCGAGGCCTCCGCCACATCCGGGTGGCACGCCGGGCGGCGGCACGCCGGTGGGCGGCGGCACGCCGGCGGGCGGTACACCGCAGGGTTCTCAGGTGGACGGGAAAGTGGGCTCGCAGACTTCTCAGATGTTCTTTTGTTTTCTTTCCTCTTTTTTTTTTTTTGGGGGGGGGGGGTGTTTTTGGTTGTGTGTTTTTTTGGGTGGGGGGGGGGGACCTTTTCTTGGCTGGTCTTGGTGTTTGACCGAATCACATTCAGACCTTTTGGAAAGAATTTGCTTGTTCACTAAAGCTGCAAAAGGTTAGGCCTTTCGCTCCGGGAAGGGGGGGGAGAGACCCACATCGGGTTGGTGTTGTTTTGTTTTTAAGGGTAACCCCTTTGGCACTTAGTTGGTGTTGATGGTGTGGGGATTTCAACCTTTGGCTCTCATAAATGGCTGTGAACTTTAATACGGAAGCACCTTAAAAAAGCCGTTGGCGGACATGAATCCCAACCTAAATGATAGGCTTTGCCAGTAGAATTTACACTCACAAGTGGGGGTATGCTTGTTAGGCTAACCCCTTTTCTTGGGGGTTGGTTCAAAGAGAATCCAAAGGGAAACCACCCAGTTTAGCGGTTCACACGCGCGAACAAGTCATGCCCTCAAAAAGAATGATACCCCCTAACGTGGATGGCGAACTTCGCTTCGCACATGGGTATGTCGTGTGTTTTTGTGACCTATTTTGGGGCTGGGAGGCTGGTTCGAAGGGAAACCAGAGAAGACGTTCACCCCTATCTTCACACATTCCCCCAACAGGCCACGGGGTCCCTCAAAATTGACATTTCGAAGGTTTGTCAAATTACTTTTGCAAGGGCTTCCAGTTGCATTGCCAGACTTAGCCAAGTATGGCCTGCGGGTTGGGGAAAAAGGGTATTTGAACCAAGGGTGAACGCGGGAGGAGGGAGAACTCAGGGCAAGATTGTCCTCGGGAAATTGGCCCAACATTTTCGAGGATCGCAAGCCGAGCTGGCTGCATGTGCTGCAAAGCAAAGGATCGACTCGAGGATCGAAAGCCTGGGACGGGTCCGCCATGATGGTTCACCAAGCGGAGCGCAGACGTGAGGAGTGCGCAGACCGTTGCCACAGCTGAAGCCCTTTGGGAGAAAGGAAGAGACCGAGACGGGCACGCGCAAAAATGTCGAGCTCTTTGCCCTGTCCGCGACATGAACCGCCGGCGACATAAGGCAGCGAGCAGGAGATTGAGTCAGCCACGGTGGTTACAACATGTCAAATTTTGCTGGGCGGCCCAGCACTGAAGCAAACACAAATAGAGCAGTGCGATCTGAGGGCAGATAGTTTGTGTGTTTTTCCCACACCCCAGTTTAACCCTCAGCTTAACCTCTAGAATGGCAATGGTTTTATAGCATGACCAGGGCTCAGCAGGGTTCCAACGATATGTTCCCTTCAAAGGGGAGTTCAATCACCAACATTAGGAAGATTGCAACTTTAATTGAGCTTCCTGTCGCTGGCTGGTGTTTTCCAGCGGAACTTTGTCTGGCACCCCGAAACATTTACTTCTTCCTTGATCGCAGCGTGTTTGAA